GCGCGGGTAGGGGGGTGGGGTGAAGGAAGAATAAACGCCGGTTGCCCCCCAGCTTCTCCCTCCCCGTCTTTCTGCAAACGCGGGCTTGTGGATGTGATATTTTTCCTCCTAATTAAAAATGTTAACAATGATTTTTCTCCACCACGGCTTTCGCCACCTTTCTTCTCTTAGGACTCGGGTTCTTGGAGGACGCCCCTCCCCCGGGATAGTGCCTAAGAATCTGTACCCCCACCCACTCCCAAACTAGAGGGGCGTCCTGTTATGTCCTCTCCTGCCCGGTCTTACCCCGTCCCCTTCACAACCCGGGTAGTTCGAACCCCGCTTCTCTGCCTACCCGCTGCTGGTTTGCTCCCTGCCCGCATCAGCTCCGTCCAACATCGGTTGACCCCTCGAACCTTGCCGGATTCCCCCGTTTCCTCCCCAACCCCAGTGGCCCCTAGTCGGGATTGCCCCATCCCTCCCTCAGCACTATAAACATAAACAGAGCAACTGTATTTTGCTAGTCTCCGGGCTGCTGAGCTTGGTATCCCCAGGCCCGAGTGGAGGTCTTTTTTGGGAGAGGGGAGACGGGGACGGGAAATGGGAGAAAATCGCTGGAGAACCTCTGGTGCGCCGAGGACCTGGTGGGGGCACCGAAGGGACTGGACTGGTGCAGGAATCGGCAGAGCTCAGAGAAGTCTGGGGTGGAGTAGGGTGGGAAGGGGTTGTAGTTGAAAGCTCTTGGTTGCCTTCCCCCTCCCCCCGGTACTCCGGAACCTTTCTATACCGCCCAGCCCTGATTCCAGGTGCCCTGAAGCCAGCTCTCCCTAGCACCTATGCCTCTTGGCCGGGGCTGGGACCAAGGCGAGAGGGACTGACTTGTCTGTCCCTAGTCCCCCTCATTCTTTCTCCTGCAACTATTCCCAGACCTTGCGGCTTCTCTGCTGGGGCTATCCAGCGGAGGTGAGCACCAGGCTGGGAAGTGGGAGTGAGGGGCGGCGGTGTTTAGGAGAGGACAGATCTGTGGAGGAGCTCTGGGCAAGGGGTAGTTTGGGAAGTGTGTGGGTGGGGGAGCACTCTACCCCCTCCCATACACACACACACACACCTGTTCAAGAGAAGCACGGAGCTGGAGGCTCTGGGGAAGGGAACCGGTAAGGCTAGCAAGGAGACTCTAGTCCGGGTCGAGTTGAGGAAACCAAAGAGAGGGGTCCCGCCACTAGGCCAGCAGGTGGAGGGCTCCCACAGGAAGGTGGGTGGATTTGTCTTAATTGTGTTTCTTCCTCCTCTGTCGGTCACTAATTCTTGTCGGCGCCGAGAGCCCAGCTGGGCTCGAAGCGGGCGGCCTGAGAAAGGAGATGGTGGGCGGTGGGAGGGCCTGGCTCGGTCCTGCCGGCCTCAGATGGGCTTCGGTGGCTTCAGTAGCCAGTCTAGGGGAGCTGAGTGGGGCTCGGCCTGAGTCGGGGGGAAACCTCCAGGGGGGAAGGATGTCCTGGCCCGGTATTCCCTTGCTGGAAATGACCCTACGGGAAAGAGCTGGGAATGAAAAGGAGTGGGTCTGGAACACACTTCTGTCTGCAAAGCCTTCAGGGCTCCCGGCCTTCCTCCTACTACTGCTCCTTTCACCCCAGCTTCCTAGGTCAGGAGAGGCCGATCTCCCAAGGGAACCACCACCGAGGCACTGCAGATTAGGGCGCTCTTCTCTCCAGGCTCAGCCGGGTTTATACACATACCAAACCGCCCTTAGTCCTTAAACCCACAGAAACCAGGATATTCCCCACGACCGCTGTCCCGTTTCTTGTGCCAGGAGCTACAGCTACCCTTTCTTCCTAAACCTGCGCAATTTTAATCACCGAGACCCAAATAGATGTCAAACTAAAGCCCCCACTCCTGGCCACGGAGCTCACCCCCCAGATCAGGGACCGCTCAGGACAGCCCAAGCAAACGAATAGGTGGGCGCTAAATTCCGGACACGGGAGGTGGGGGGCGTCGCGGGCAATGAGGGTGGAGGGCCTTGGTAGTGTGGGAAGCTATCAGGGCCTCCTTCCCTCTTCTTCGTTCTACTTTTCCCTTCCCTCTCTTTACTCTCCCCTCCAGGCAACAACCTCCAGACACTCTCAGTCCGAGAGAGTACAGAAACTGGGGAGGGCAGAGGAAATAACAGAGCCCACTCCTTAAGGCAAGTAGGACTGAGGTCTGAAACCAGAAAGGCCCCCTCTTCTCCTATTCCTCCCTCAGGATTAGGCCCTCGGAGGATGAGTGAATGGGGACTGGCCTAAGGGGTCTTGGGAGAGAGGTAACTGCAGACACACATTCGGTGCTTTTTTCCAAAAAGGGCCCTGGGATTTCTAGCCCCAGGCGCGGAGGAAGAAGGTATAGGATCCAGAAAGCCTTCTTCCTAAGGCGTCTAATTTTGGATCTGGCCTCTGGGGCCTGGTCCTAGCCTGGACTAAGCGGCCTTCACCTTTTTTCTGCTCCATGTCAGCAGCCTTTACCCCCACCCAAAGCCTGTCAGCGCCTCCGGTCTCACTCACTGTCAGCCCTGCCTTTGACCCTCACCCTGGCGGAAGCCCCAGGAGCCACGGGGAGCGGAAAGACAGGGATAAAGGAGAAGGGGAGAGAAAAATACCGTTTTCTCTCCATCTCCCCCAACACACACACACACTGAAGTGAAAGAAAATAAAAGTAAATATTGTTGACAATACGGAGGAAGAACTATCCATAAAGGAAGAAGCTGAGAGTAGAGGTAGGGAGAGTAAAGAGAGAGCAGCCCTCTTGCTTGCACCCCAGGTTTGAGGATCCCAGTGGGGAGGGTGCAGCTCCTCGGTTAGATGACCAGATTTTGGGCTGTCTGAACTGGGATGATCAAGGCCGCCTGATCCCTGCAAAGATGGCTCCCGGAGGGGGTGGGGGAAGGGGGTCATCTCTTTTAGGGAAAACTGGCCCCCGCCCGATGACCCTTCCTAATGTTCTTTCCTCAGACAGCCTCACAATACCAGCGAGGAACGAAAGTGGTCCCCAGAGCCCAGAAATTCCGGGCCGTTGGTTCTCTTTGGTTTTATTCTCAAATGGGAAAGGCCCGGCGTGGGCTGGGGAAGAGCAGGTCTCGAAGAGGCCGGGATTTCGGAGGAGCCGGGTGACCGAAGGGGAAATTCTCGTAGGTTGGGCTCAGTCCTCTGGCTCCCCCTTGAAGAAAGTGGCTTCACAGGGCAGAATTTCTTGTCTGCTCTGAGACTGGAGGCCCCCGAGGCTGATCCAAGAAGTCAGGCTCTGTTTCTAACCAGCTCCTCTGCTGTTAGTAAGTTTAATCATCCTCTCTTCCCCCTCTCGCCCCCCAAGTGTATTCAAGGTCTCGGTGCCCTGGGAAGCGTAGCCTAGACCCCTTCACCCAGGGGACAGACTTGGGAAATACTAATGGACCAAGACAGGGAGAGGGACTAGCTTGAGGGCAGAGGTCTAAGGCATCTGCGGGTTCCCTGACCCCAACGGGGCCAGGTCAAACAAGAGGCCAGCAGGGCAGGAAGCAAGAGTGGCAAGTCAGACAAGAGGTAGCCCAGGCCCCAGATCTCCTCGTCCACTTGTCTGATTTCTCTTTCTGGAGAAGGAGGGAAAGAAGGACAGTCTCATATCTAGAGGAGTGGGCATTCTACAGCTCTTTGGCTCTGTCTTACAACTTTGCTTAGCAGGGCCAAGAGGGTTGAGAGGCCCAGGCTACCCCCTTAGGACTACTGTGCGTAGGAGCAGAACGGTGTGTTGCTTTGATTTTGGGGAGGGATAAATATTGGTGATGAGTTTAGACTCTTTGGATTTCTAGTCCTTGGCACCAGTCTGGGGGCCTTTCCAGGAAAGCAGTGCAAGGGATCCCCAGAGACCTGGGATTTGGGGGAAATCCTTAACAGAATGGGTCCTTGGGATGCTTGCTGGGCATAGGCAAAGCTGAGTTTTAGCTTAGTCCGTCTGCGGACAGCTTCCCTGGATCTAGAAGGGAAACCGAGTCTCAACCGAAGTGTCTTCTTGGGACCTGGCCGATAAGGTAGAGATCTGAGCTCCAGTCCTGTTATCAGTTCACTTTAAGGCAAAGGAGGAGAGAGGAGAGGGTTGCTGGTGGAAAGGAAGCAGGGGAGGAAGGCTTGGACGCAGGTGGGGCAAACGCCCCCACGTGTTTCCCGTCCTCCACAATACCAAAATTCGTTGCGGTGTCTCCCCTTTTAGGGTTCTGGACGACTTGGGTGGGAGTGAGGAAGTAGAGTAAGAAGCGGGTGAAGAGTTTTACTTTCTCTGACACCAAAAGGCTTAATTGCGGTTCCCAAAGTGTCTAAGGTTCAGGAGCCCACCGGGCTTATTGGAGAACGATATCCCCGCAGGATTCCCCCAACTTTTCTCTTCTCTTTTTGTATCTCTGCTCCCTCTCCTCTTCCTCTCGGGTACCAGCCCCCGACGAAGCCATGAGTCTGTGGTGGCTGCATAAACCTGACTTAGGAAAACCGGTAAATATCCGTCTTCCCTTGGGAATTAGTTGCCTTTCAAACGGCTGTGAACACCGGCTTTTAGGTGCTCTGTCTGGGCTTAAGAGGGGGGAGGGGCGGGAAGGGACAAGAGGATCAGAGGTCCGAGTATGAGTCCCCCCTCCCCCCCCAAAAAATAACAATCTCTCCAACAACAGTACACTCTTCTTTAAAAGCCTCGGTATAGGTTTCCTTGACCAGATCTACTTAAAGCAAACAAACCAATTTGCGAGAGGCGAGATACCGAGGACATGGGCTTCAGCCCGGCCCCAGTACCTTCCCGAAGAAAAATGCGCCCACCTGCTATGCGACCTGGATACCCGCCGTTTACTGA